ACACACACACACACACACACACACACACACACACACACACACACACAAAGGCCATCTTTCTTATCCATTCTTTATTGATTGCCTGAAATTTTGTGAGTATCTGCTTTTGAGATTCTCATGGTACTGTGTCTACAGTTTTTCGTCTTACGTCACGGTGACGTATTCCACATAGCTTTATCTTGACTTGGTTTCACAGTTATCTGTAAACTAGAAATAACAGACTTGCCTGCGGATACAAGACAACCTCAGGCCTTTTGCCTTGCAGAAAAGTCCATCATAATCGAGTTTGAGAAGGGCTTACAGTTTGATGAAAGTTGTCTCAACAGCATGTTGGCTGAGTGGGAAGCAAACTCCGTCATCTGTCCTGTGTGTATAAAGTAAGAATTTTAAAAATCTTTTTAGCGTTATTCGTTCTCATCCCATACTCCTAAATGTGTGTTACCCCCCCACACACACCCCTTAGTTTATTGACTGGAAGGTAGAGTGAGCCAGGTCTTGTTACCATAATGATCTGGGAATCCTAATTCTGTCTCTAGGTACAACCTGAGAATTATGAGCAGTGTGGTCACGTGTCCATGTGGCCTGTACATCCCATTTCACGTAAGTGCCCACACCAATTCCCCACATATGGACTGTATTAAAAGCCTTCTAGTTGGTGGTTGGAGTCAGTCATGCATATGTGTAGCAGTTACCTTTCTTGTCACTGACAAGAAAGCCAGCACAGTAACTGAAGAGGAGAGGGGACAGTCCATCATAGCAGAGAAAACATGGCAAAGAAGAGCATGTTGGATCCCATGGAATTGGAGTTAGAGGTGGTTGTGAGCTACCATGTGGGTGCTGTCACCCAGGGTCCTCTGCAGGAACAGCAAGTGCTCGTAACCACTGAGTCAGCTCTCCAGATCCACTTTTTTGTTTTGAGGCCGAGTCTAGTAGTAGCCCAGGCTGACCCTCACACTTATTTATAGCTCAACTTCTGATCCTTCTGACCTCATCTTCCAGGTGCTGGACTTACAGGCTTGCACCACTCCGTCTGGGCTTTATACTGCGCCAGGAATAGAGCACAGTGCTTCCTGCTTGTTAGGCACTCTACCACCTGAGTTACATCCCCAGTCCCCAACAGTCTCAAGCTCCAAAGAATCAAACTGTGTTAGTTGATTGGTATATGGATTCAGCTTTTCAACCTGTTGGTTATACGTATTTAAGATTAGTTGTGGTTGTACTTTCTTAGTCAACAGACTTGACAGAGCAGAAGCTTCGTGCCTGTTTGGAAGAAAGTGTGAATGAGCACAGCGCACACTGTCCCCACACCCCTGAGTTCTCAGTCACCGGTGGAACAGAAGAGAAGCCCAGTCTTCTGATGAGCTGCCTGGTAAGCCTCCATGGGACCCAGGCAGTTGCAAGAGCCCATCAGTAGGTGGTTCTGTTCTCCTCTTGGTGGAGGTAATGGCTTAGAAACTGGGGAATGTTTAATATACTTTTTTGAGGCATTTACTTCACAGAAAGTATCATCTGGGTGTGGTGGCACTTGTCTGTAATCCCAGTACTAGGGAGGCTGAGGCAGGAAGAGTTTAAGGCCAGTCTAGACTAGTGAGAACCTGTCTCAGAAACAGATGCTGGGCAGGTAAGATGGCTCAGCAGGTATAGAGCACTTGCTGCCAAGCCTTTGTTCAACCTGATCCTGAGCTCAACCCTTGGATCTCATGTGGTAGAAGCAAAGAACTAATTCCTGCAAGTTGTCTTCCATAACATATGGTGCGCTTGTACGTGCACACACACACACACACACACACACACACACACACACACACACACATACACACATACACAAGTATTAAAACATATGAAATGAGTAAGCTTCAGTCAAACAGCCTGGTAAGAGAAGGGAGGAGTAGACTTAGAATTGTGCCCAACATTGGTCTGGAAATTGGAGACTGTGACCACACTGCATGCTTTTGTTAGATTAGCAGCAATAACTGGATCTCTATGCATCAGGTCATGGTCACGAGTGCCAGATTGCCACCCTGGCATCGAATTTGCAGACTGACACAGGACCCAAAGCACAGTTGAGCAACACCAGTTTTATCTCTCAGTAAACTTGCATAGAGGTCTTAGTCTGGCCAAATGGTGACTCAGGTGTGAGGGACAAGATCACACAGGAGCCACCTGTCTTAGAAACTTCACACTTGCTGTGGGAACCAGTACTAATATATGTATGACATATTAGCATGGTTCACAGGTCCCAAGTAGAGGCAACTAAAGGTGTGATGGGCTGCTGTAATATGCCAGATATTCACTAATAACCTGACCCCTTACACAAAATTGTCCAATATTTTTGGGCTTCAGCTGTACCTGACTCCATGTTTCCTTTACACTGTGCATGTCTTTGTTTCTGAGGGCACGGACAATCTTCTCCCACCTGTTTACTTATTTTTACCCCCACTGTATATTGATTTTTTTCTCCAGTGAGTTGGTACATAAGTAGATAAGTAACGTGTTTTTATGAATGCACTGAAGTAGAAGGTGAGTTGAAGAGGCGCAGGCCAAATGGCAGTGCTGAGGTGGTTCTGTGAGAAAAGTACTTGCTGCACAAATATGAGGGCCCGAGTTTGGATCTCCAGAACCCATATAAAAGGCCATGTAGGCATGGTGGCCACCTATAATCCCCGAATTCATGAGGCCAGAGACAGGGAGATGCTTGAGAAAGCTGGTTATGGATTAGGAACTCCAGGTTTAGACTCCTTTGTGTCACTAAGTAGAGCAATTGACTCTTGTCAACGTGAGGCCTGCATACGCACATGTATGCATGCACACGTACATGAAGAGACATAAGCACACCAGCCATGTAGAACTTCAAATGGTAGCTAATGTTAAACTCTGCTTTTGAAACAAGGTCTACATAGCCCTGGCTGCCCTGGGACTTGGTACATGTGCCAGGCTGGTCTCAAACTCAGAGACGTGCCTGCCTCTGTCTCTCTAGTGCTTTAAAGATATCTCTTATCTTTAAAGGCTTGCACCAAGTTCTTTTAAAAGTCAGTTTCAAGTAGGTGGAGAAGTGGCACAGTGGTTAAGAGCACTGGCTGCTGCTGTTCCAGAGGTCTTAAGTCAGTTCCCAGAAACCACATGGTGGCTCACAACCATGTATGGTGAGATACGCCCTCTTCTGTCCTGCAGGCATACATGCAAACAGAGCACTCATAGACATAAACACATTTTTTTTTTTTTTTTTTTCCGAGACAGGGTTTCTCTATGTAGCCCTGGCTGTCCTGGAACTCACTCTGTAGACCAGGCTAGCCTTGAACTCTCAAACTCAGAAATCCTCCTGCCTCTGCCTCCCAAGTGTTGGGATTAGAGGTGTGCGCCACCACCGCCCGGCGACATAAACACATCTTAAAAGGTTTAGTTCCAGACCATATACTGGAGATGGGAAGAGAGGTTAAAGAGCAAGCAGGCAAGCATGGCTATGCATGCTGACAATCCCAGCGTATCAGGGAAGCTGAAATAGCATAATCGTAACTGAGCCCAGTAGTTCAAGACCAGCCTGAGCAAAATAGCCATACCTTAAAGAAGTAGATGATTGCCTGATTGTACCTGCTCAGCTTAAAAACAAACCAACCTGCTGTACACTCAACTTAGGACCCTGTAATGCAATACAGCAGGGTAGCCAAGTGAATGGCAGTTTGAGAGGCCAGTGCAATGAGAAGTCAGACCAGCACTGGCCAGGCTAGAGATACCATTGTTGAGTAAAGGGTGTCACCACAAAGATGAGAAACTGGAGGAGAAAAAACTATTGAGCAGGCTCCAAGTTCAGTCCTGAGAGGTATGTATGCATTTGACATTTTCAAAGTGTCACTAGGTCTCAAGGGCACATCAAGGAAAACTGGGTTAAGATCCAGAGAATCTTTCAGATACTAAGCATGTGGGGGAATATAGGTGTGGATCACTTAAGAGAATCACAGTAGCCGGGCAGTGGTGGCGCACGCCTTTAATCCCAGCACTTGGGAGGCAGAGACAGGCAGATTTCTGAGTTCGAGGCCAGCCTGGTCTACAGAGTGAGTTCCAGGACAGCCAGGGCTATACAGAGAAATCCTGTCTCGAAACCCCCCCCCACACCAAAAAAAAAGAGAGAATCACAGTAATGAAGCAGACTTTAGAATACTTAGTAGCCCCAAACTGTCAGGTTTTGCTTTCTAGTCTGGTTTTCTGAGGCTACTTGGTCTTAGCTTATAAGCTACATTGTTGATGGCTTCAATTTGGCAGAACAGGTCCATGAAAGCCGTGGCTTCTTTGATAAAGTATTCTAGTGAACTAACTCATAATGGTTCTACTTGTAGTGCACATGCCATGACTGCTGGCAACTTTTAGCTATGTAAGATCTAACTGTTTAGGTGTAGAATGTAATTTACCCTAACTTATTTTCTGTTTAATCCAGGCTTGTGACACTTGGGCTGTGATCCTCTAGTCATCCTGACCTCACACTTCACTACTGGGCTGAGAACAACTAATTTCCTGAGAGGACTCCTGTATGCGTAAGCCTTTTGTATATAACTGTAATTAAAACATTTCAAACGTCTCTGCTCTTGGTGTTCTGATGTAGGGTGAAAGAAAAGTCTGAACTTCCCTGGAGGAGATAAAGTCAGATTTATTGTCCATCATCATGTTATACAAAAATCTGCAAATAATAAATTTGTACAGGAAAAAAAGCCCAAAGGAATAGTAAATGGAGGTGTAACAGCGATAATTTAAGCTTGCTTTTTTCCCCCCATATGATATTAGGATGAGAGCCATTTCAAAGCATAATTCTGATGCTAAGGTAGCTTTTGTTCACTGGCCAAAGCTTGCCATTTAATTAAGGCCTTCAGTCTCTGACATTTCTACTGGTTCTTGACAAAACTTTTGAGGTCCTCAAGAAAGGTGATATATTCCTGGTGCTCTAGGGCTGTACTGAGTTCCACCAACTCATCGGCAAAAGTGTTATCCACCCCTCGGTCCGCAAGGAAATCCATTAGGTGGTCATACAAGGCCTGGGGAAAAAAAAGATTCACTAGCTTGAAAAACAATAGAACAAAATTAAAAGCGTTCTGGCTGGTCCGCTGACCTTCCCATGTGGTCCAGTGCATGTGTGCAAACACATTTTTCCCCTCCTGCAATGCTATTTCACCTCCTTGAACTAGGACCCCTCTCTGCAAAAGCCAAGCACCCCCATCTCAGCCAGCACTCACCCAGTCCAGGGAATCTGTGTTGAGTGTGTAGTTTGTATCCCTCCACTCAGAGTCACCAGTGGCCTGAAAGCTAACTTCCTTGATAGAGAAAATATCACTCTCGGCCTCATCTTCGTGTCCGATCTGGGAGACACAGCAGAGGTAAGGGAAGTGCAAAGAGGCTCTGCAGTTATAACCCTGCTCCCAGCCACTCTCGCCCACCTTCCCCTCCCCTGTCTAGATTACCAGATCTTTCCTGTGTATGCTACACGGGGTCAGAAGACTCCACCCTACCAACCTCATCCTCAGGATAATGACAGTCCAGCACAAGGGTCTTCTTGCCATCAATCTTTGTAACTTCAACCACAAAATTAGGAGTTGATGTCAGTTCCGGCTGGAGAGACAGGAATAAGTCAGCATATGCCAGTACTGGTGGGGTGCACACACCTGGACCAGTGGCCTCAGGAAGTCAGAATGTCTGGTAGCCACGGCCATTAGGTTATTATTAGCCATTTTTTAGTCTTAGGTTGTGGATAAGACATTCAAATCTTCCAACAGAGCACTAAACAGTTTATCAATCACATGGGTTTAGAATATCTGATGTCAGGCACAGCTATTCTTCAGGGCTGTTTCTGCTCCCACACACTGCCGAGCACACGCGGCTGCAACATAGACCCAGACCTCTTTCCCCTGACTGTTTTGGTGCAGGATTGGAGCCTGGAACATAAGGACTCTAGCTAAGTGGCCATCTTAACCCGAAATAGCAGCAACTTCCTTTTATTGTGACCCAAGGGGCAGGCCCAGGCTGAACTGGGTACAGGCTAGGACAGAAGCACAGCAGGGAACTCAGCTCTTCATACACAAGACTGCCGTCTGCTTAGTCAGATGGCCTGGGGATCCTGTGGTCCTCTTAAGTGGTTGGCTCCTAGGATAGGCACACTATTTCTAACATGTCTGAATACTATCTAGACCCAGCCATGAGAGCCAGCAACTTACAACTGGTCAAATGTTAAAAATCTGTAAGGCTGAGCTGGCGAGATGGTTCACCCAGTAAAGGTGTTTGCTGCCAAAGCCCGATGACCTCCGTTCAACCCTGGGACCCACATGGTGGAAGGACAGAACTGACTCCTACAGTTGCTTTGGACATCTACAAGTGCATACATGAGCCCCAAACATACAAATCAACATAATTTGAAGTCTCTAAGGCCTGCCCCTAGCCTTTGGTCACATGACTAGTGTTGAATTACCCACTTGTCATCCTTCACTAAAAACACTCCAAATGATAGTGTCTGGATACTAAGTACCCCGACTCCCCAACACAGGCAGGGGTGAGGACACAGACCAACTCTAGCTAAAACTCACTCCGACCTACTGCATTACAAATTTTCACCTCACCCTAGTGGGAGAAGAATTCTAAAAAGAGCAAAAATAAAACAGTTCATGCTTTTTAGGACAGAAAAATTGGCTGGCTGCAGCAGTCACTAGCTTACCTCCTGTTCTTCAGCCTTCTGCCCTTGTGAAGGCTCCTCCTCACCATCAAATGTTGGAGGGATGCTGTTGTTAATGTTGAAAGTGACAGTGATCCTGGGAAGGCAAGTAGAAACACACTAAGGTACGATGTTAGCCTAGCAACAACAGGAGAGGGAGGCCTGCTGCAGTAAGGTAGGTGCAAAGGCACACTGAAACAATGTCTCCATCCTAGCTGGCTACACTCGGAATTAAACAGAACTTAAAAACAGTCCGGGGGGGCCTAAACAACACATCCATTAAACACCTTCTGAACTGTACATACACAGTGCTACAAATTAAATGACTACAGTTGTGGCCAGGCTGGTGTCCTGGGGTCTTTCCACAGAAGCTGATGAAGGTGGATAGCCCTCCACCCCAGAAAGCCTCACGACCACCGCAGATTCACTTTGCACAATCACAAACTAGGAACTGAAACGCCTAGTGGCTTCTTCCTCCTTCTGGGGGGATTCTGGAGCTCAAACAAGCACCCTGTGCATGCTTGGGGGAAGTTCACAGCTGCACCCTGGCCCTTTTGTGATTGTAAGAATTCTTATGTGATAGCACATGTTCTAAAATCAGATAAAATTCCTTTGCCTCTCCTCCTAGAAGCAGAAATTCCAGGCTACACCGATTCCGATTGGCCACGGCCAACCAACCCAAGCAAGAGTGTACTGGGTGGAGCTGCTCCCTGGAGTTCAACTGGGCAATGCTTTGCTGCCACTCTGCCACCGAAAAAGAACAGCACAAGGCTGTTAAGGTACTTGCCGGTAGACCAGGCTGGCTTAAACTCACAGAAATCTACCTGCCTTGGCCTCTCAGGGTGATGGAATTATAGGCGAGTCCCAGCACCACTCAGTCTAGCCTTGAACTTTCCAATCGCCACACACGCTTACTGCTAGGCTTATAGGGCCCCACTGGATAAAACTGCTTTCTTGTACACTGTGCTCCAGAAGCACTGGGGATGGGTCCTGGGGCCTCACACATGGCTAGAGAGGCACTCAAGAGTCCAAATACTTTTCTAAGACTGTGGGTGAATGTGTAACACAGAACAGCACAAACAAGGGTTTAACCGTCTTAGGGGTGCCACAGGCCTACAACCTCAGCACACAAGTGTCTGAAGCAGCAGGACCAAGAGTCTGAGGCCAGTCTGTGCTACAGAGACTCTGTCTCAGAAAACCAATTGGTTTAGGAGAGGGGGAGCTAAGCTTGGGTAAGAACCCTCTACCTTTGTCTGATGGCCTTTCTACACTGTAACTTCTAAACAAATGAATTTACCAGTACTATCAAACATTTAAAAAAAAATCCCAGTGATTAAATCCAGACTGGGAACAGCATCCCTCATTAATAACCCAATGACTGAGATTTGCAGCTGTGACAGGCTTTCCTCTACATACTCCGGAGCTGCTGTAGGTCTCCTTAATAACCAAGCCACAGAAGTTTGTGTGCGTTCAGTGAATGTACTCCCTGAAACCTAAGAACTTTTCCAAGTAAATGCTTTCTTAAAAGCCCTTTTATCAAAGCACTAGGTCTAAGTGCAGGCTCTTCTGGGGATGGCCAGGACAGGGTGCTGTTGTCAGGGATTCCTGACTTGAGAATCCAGTATACAACCCCTGGGCCAGTACTTACTTTTCTCCAGCAACTTTGCGCAATAATTTAGCCTCTGTGCCGTTCACTTCCAGCTCCCAATCTCCAGACATCTTGGGAAGGGACTTATGCTTCTGTATCTTCTTTTCTTCCTTAATTTCATCAGTCAAGAATTCTACAAAGGCCTTGTCTCCTAAAAGAAAAGCCAAGATGATCCAAAGAGAGAAAAGTCAGTTGCTTTAACTGATAGACCTAATCTTCATTTTTTTTTTTTTTTTTTTTGGTTTTTTTCGAGACAGGGTTTCTCTGTGTAGTCCTGGCTGTCCTGGAACTCACTCTGTAGACCAGGCTGGCCTCGAACTCAGAAATCCGCCTGCCTCTGCCTCCCAAGTGCTGGGACTAAAGGCGTGCGTCACCAACGCCCAGCTGCTGAACTTGTTTCTTAACATGAGATGGTTATTTCTCATCATGGACTCATTATTTCTTCCCGTATAAAATAAAAGAATTCCCAACTATTCTCTTCCACGTCCCAAAAGACATAACCAACAACCACACTTTGAAACCACGACCCTACGGACTTTGGAAAGGCACATTTCCAAGACGCGAGATGGGGAGCCTGCGATCACGAGGGTCTGTTCCAAGCTGGGTCCCCGCACTCCGACTTAGGTGTGCGAACCTTACCTTCCGTGTGCAGAGCGCCACAGCCGCACGCGCAAGGAACTGGGGGCTGCAGGAGGCCAGAGCGCCGAGCGGAGCCGGCTCGTACGCTGAGCAAACCGAAGGGCCGGAGGCATGGCCGGGGCGCGGGCTGCAGTACATGCCGAAGCGGTGGAGCCGGGATGGCGGCTCGGAGGCCCGTGGCGGCGGCGCCCAGGGCGCGGGGCACACAGCGTAGCAGAGTGAGCATCGCGGGGCGGACACGTGCAGAGGGAAGGACGACCCGGCCAAGACACCGTGTGACCTCGCGCGCCGCCGGAAGCCCCGCCCTCGCCCGGGAAGCGCTTTCCAAGGCAGAGGACTGTAGGCACCGGGCCGGACCGCGCCCTCTGCCGGAAGCCGCCAGTGCAGCCCGGGAGGCCTTGACTCTTACCACGTCTCCCTTGCCGCCCATTCTCTCCAATTCACCTGCTTTTCTCAATTCACGCCAAGCTTTGTTACTTCGCGGAATACGCTCAGGTTTCACCTCAACGATCTTCTGAAGCCGCCTAGCTCTGGTAAGCTCAGGCTGACCTGCATGCAGCTGTTGTGGATTGAGCATCCTGGTCTCACGATATTAGACCCAGAATCCCAAGAACAGGATGAAAGATTTATGTTAGAAACCTTTGCACCCCCTAACAATTCATGGACCAGTTTTAATGAACCAACCATCATTTTCCTGGGAGCAGGAATACATGGCTTACATCATCACATTTAGGTTAAAAATCAAGGATAACAGGCTGGTGATATGGCTCAGTGGTTAAGAGCATTGTTGCTCTTGCAGAGGACTAGAGTTCTATTCCAAGCATCTACAACATGCCTGCTCACAACCATCTAACTCCAGTTCCAGAGCAGCAGACACCCTCTTTTGACTTTCATGAACACCAGGCATGCCTGCAGTGCAGACATCCAGGCAAAACACTCAAAGACATTAAAAAAAAAAATCAATCAAACAACAACAAAACCAAAATCCAAGCCCCCCAAAACAAAACCCAACCAACTAAATCACTCACACACACCCAAAAACAAGCAACAAAAACCCAGCTCATGCATTAGTCCCAGCACCTAGGAGGTAGAGGCAATCAACTGAGTTTAAGGCCAGCCTGATCTACATAACAGGTTCAAGAACAGCCAGGGTTGCATAAAAAAACCTTCTCTCAAAAAACCAAGCCGGAGCCGGGCGGTGGTGGCGCACGCCTTTAGTCCCAGCACTTGGGAGGCAGAGGCAGGCGGATTTCTGAGTTCGAGGCCAGCCTGGTCTACAGAGTGAGTTCCAGGACAGCCCAGGCAATAAAGAGAAACCCTGTCTCGAAAAACAAACAAAGAAAAAACAAAAACAAAAACAAAAACAAAAACAAAAAAACCGAAAGAAACAAAAGTAAATGCTGGATCCCAAGACTTACCGAATGAATGGCAATAAGACTAACATTTAATATTCTGAACAGCATTCTTTAAATAAGGGAAAGGAGGCCCAACAAGAGAGACCACACAGATCATATACAAGATTCAGTTTTTATGGATTTGATAGTCAAAAGCAGATTTTGAGCATTGTATACTAGAACTGTTCTTTTATGTTTGAGATCAGAGAGAATACAGTACAAGTCCAAATCAGCTTGTTATTTTTCTACACTACAGCAATCGATATAAAATTATTTCCCCACAGGTACAGCCTAGCTTATGTGCTCAAGGAATGGCATCTTAGATGCATGGCCACAATTCCAAACATATCCTGGTAGCTGGAGTACAAGGATTTGTGTCACAGTAAATATTCTGCTCTGTTTTGAAATCTTGTTACAAGAGATGCAAAGGTTCTCCCAGGGGACCTGGTAATGAAACTGTTGTCCTGGGTGTTGCAGGCCACAGTTACAGAGAAGATAAACACCTGCAGCATGCAGGACTGTTGTGGAAGTTCCTCTGCTTGTTGGAGGCTATCCTGTCCAGGCTGGAGTCTTTAGGTTGGAGAGAGTTTGCCAACTGGAAAAGCAGCTCAGGTTGTACTGCAGTAAAATCACAAAACACTTCACTTTCTTAAGAAAGCTTGTAGAGTGCTGTCCCATCAGCTTAAGATAAGCATTAACCTCTTTGCAGTGATCCGTGGAGTCAGAACGGGGCTGCCACCTCATGTAATCCCTGAGCAGCTGTGTTGAAAAATTTTTAAAAAGCTTAGTAAAAAACTAAATACTCTATTAAAATTCTCCCACAATGTTAGAGTGATAAACATATTTCTGTACAGAAACATTAGGTACTTAGAAACTGTATTCTTCACTCCTTTTTCTGGAAGTCCCAGTCCTCTGCAGCAGTCTCTCCAGGTTAAGGTCCTAGGCCTCATCCTGGAGCCAGTCACTGCAGGCTACTTTCCCCTGACCCAGAAACCACCTCATTAGTTTACTAAGGAGCAAAGACTGGTCACTGCTGAGGAATATATTGCCTCCTCCTTGTTTTTTTTAACGAGCATAATGAATGTCCTTTTAAAAGTACAAAAGTTCCTCTTACCTAGCAAGGCATAAATTTACCTTGCATAAATACAAAAAATACACTTAAAAAGAAAGCACATTCTTGAGAGCATTTCAGAAAGTTGATAATGTGACCATTTTATCAAAATAGTCACAAGTACCCAGACAACCCTAAGCACTGGCTAAAAGCTTGATTGCCCATGGCTAGGGTTATAATAAAGCCTAGACCAGACTCAACAGACAAAGCTGCGAATCAATGAGATCCTGGCAATGGAAGTGGCCAGTCACGCTATGCTCTCTGGAAAGAGCTTGTTAGACTCAAAGAAACTGCCCTGTGTCTTCAAAGTGCCTTGAAGACAGTTTGGCCCATTGCTTATAAACAATACAATTCATTGTATGAATGAGAAAATCCTAGCAGTACAGATGTGTTTGGATCAATTAAGCACAATAAAAGGGCTAAGAAATTTTTTTCCTTCTATGTTCAAACAGTCTCTGTTTAAGTGTGTTCCTTCCCTTCCTTCACTTAGATACAAGGCCTAGCCCAGGCTGGACTAGAACTTGCAAGCCCTCCCATCTCAGCTGATATTGATTATAGGTATGTACTACCAAACTGGGGAATGTCTGCTCCTAATAATCAGCTAAGATGAATCTTTTCCAATGGGGAAAAGGATGTACAGGCTTCTCTAATTCCCTCTAACAAATGCAGATAATGAAAGTTTGAGAGTGGTGACTGGTTAGGAAGTAGCAAAGCTCATTGTCCCCAGGTCTCCGAAAAGAAGACAGACCACTGAAAATTAGTACATCAAAAATATAAAGACTGGCCAGGTGGTGATGCATGCCTTCAATCCCAGCACTTGGACGAGAAAGGCAGGCTGATCTCTGGGTTTGAGGCCAGTGTGGTCTATAGAGCGAGTTTCACAGCAGGCAGGGCTACACAGAGAAACCCTGTCTCGAGTGGTTTACCCCTCAAGAAAAAAACAAACCAAAAACCCAAACTAGGAGTAGGTGTAGGAGAAAGGACAAACTGATACTCTGGCTTCTGAACCACTGAGCACCTGTCTACTTCCTCCTTCCCATCTAGCAGCTCTGACTCGAACAGACTTGAAAAAGGTATGACTCTTCCCTCATGTGCACACATTCATAGGTGCTCAGTTAAAGAGAAAATTACCACGGGGCTTCAGAAGGCCACTGGACTGAAAAGTTGGCTTCCTAGTTTCAGGAAACCTGTTAATCTCCTGAAAGCACTGTTGGGGACATGCAACCACAGAGGCACTGGAGACCAACCAAGGAACTCCTTGCTGGTCTCTGCTTGGAGAGACGGACAAGATTATGTGCTACACCCTAAGCCATAAGAGTCAACATGTCAGAATACACCTTATTCTGGAACTGCCTGTGGGAGTTTTCCAAAACAGAAAATTTTGCATTTTCTATTTAAAAGACATACAGGTAGACATTAAAGTAGAAGTGAGGGCTGGGGACTGGCTCAGTGGCAAAGTGTTTTGCATAGCATGCATGAGGCCCTGGGATCCACAGGACAGGGAGTAAGAAGGGGGAGAGACATTTCAACAAACTGGATCTGTAGTCTCCTATGGCTCCTCTCCCAGTCACAAGAGCTCAAGGGGCGGTGCTGTACCTAATTAGTATCATAAGCACAATGGCTCACAAGTCACTGATTGCCTTATCTTGTACCAGGCAAATCTCTGGGTAAGGCTCTGCTCATTCTCTCTAAACTTCATTACGCTGATCTTGTAGGTCTTATCCCTCTCTGGCATATGAGGAAACTGAGGCTCAGAAGTTAACTCAGTCACCAAAACTGCCTAGTCAAACCCGAAGCACAAGCCTTGGTTTCTCATGGTGTAAGTATGATCATGTCAGGATGGTTGAGTCTGAGAAGTTTCAACAAACTTTTAAGCTCTTGAAGTCGGAAAGTCTGGCTGCAAGCTTCTGAGTCTGTTTGGAAGACAGCTGTGATCTGAACTCCAGGCCCAGCTGTGCTGGCAGCATCCTGGGATGGCTCAGTTTCTGGCTGTTCTCAGCTTCCTCCTGAAGTAGTCAGGGGCAGCATCATAGAGCCACTCAGCATCCACAACACAGAGGTCTCGCATGTAGCATTTGTTGGTGTAGAGCAGTGAAGTGTATACCACGCAGGCAGGCTTGCAGTGGAAGAGGACAGATGACGGGTGGATGGCCACTGGCTGATGTGTGTCCGTGGTGGCATAGGTGCCATCTGTCTGGAGTTCAGCAGTACTCATAAAGAGGCTGTGAGCCAGGCAACGGCGGACACTCTCCATGTCCCCTCGAGATGACACAATTGGCATTGACATCTGTTTTAGAAGAAAGACAGAAAAGATCTCAAGCACTAATTCTCCCCAGCACTGAACACTGCACTGCCCAGTTCCATGCCCAGTACTACCCCCACAAAAGAATGTAAGTCACTGATACAATGTAAACCAAGTGAAAGACAAACTAATTGGCTCAGTGGAAGAGCATTGCCTAGTGGGTTCAATGGACAGTACTGGAGTGACATGGGAATTGAGGAGGGGGAGGGGAAGAAACCCCAAACCACCATGGATTTCTATGAATTAGCCATAATTGTGAGGGAGAGAAAGTAGAATTATTAGTAATTTCTATATTCTTGTGTAAAGTTTTTCTACAATGAGATTTTTTTTTCATACCACTAATGACAAGCAATTCAAGACATCTACAAGAAAATAAAAACTCTTCCTCTAAAGGGAGGTAGTACCTTTAAGCAGATTTCCCTCAGCTGTGCTCTGACTTCAGCTACTAGCAGCATATTCTTGCTGTTGACAAAATTCTCTTTGCACCAGTCCTGAATAGAAGAAAAGGAGATATGTTAATCCTCTTGCTTCTATGCAGAGGAAACATGCACATACCAAAACCTGGATGGCACAGCTGAATTCAGAGGGTTTTACAGGTGTCAAAAAGAATATAGGAACATACCTTTATATTGAAAAGTATGAACTAGGAGAAATATGAAGTATTTAAACTAAAATAAAACAAAGATTCCTGTCCTAGGGTCATCATGAAAAAGCTACGGGCTGGGATGCATGCACCACCATACCCATAAAGGACACGCACCTCTAGAATATTATTAAAGAAAAGTGAGAAGAAGACCAAGAAACTGGAGAAAAATTATCAAAAGACACAGAAATGTGCAATACATTTATGCAAGGATGCTTGTCTTGTGTGGGATGGAGGCAATGTTTAGAACAATATAAACAGAAGACACAAGTGATTTCAACCAACATCTGGAGAGACCGTGGAGACGGGAATTCTCCCACACTCCAGGAGGGACTGATGGTCTGGCAAATGCATGCTAGCCAGGTGAAGTTGAGCCATAGAGCACAGACCAACAAGTTTATGCTCACTTGTTAGCCCCACATAATATTCCATCTTGAGCACAAGGAGAGCCGAGCAAGAGACACTGGTGATGGAAACAGCTGCAGCTGAAAGGGCAGACTGTGGATGCAGGCAAAACTAATGCTTCCTTTTCTGTTTGTTTTGAGACAGTCTTACTATGTAGTCAACCAACTGGAGTCAACCAAGCCCTGTTGAAAAGCATGTCCTTAGTGCCAGGTGTGTGCCACATACCTGTCTGTCTGTGGTCTAGCACTTGGAAGGCTGAAAATCACAAGTCTGAGGTCAACTTGGGTTACATACATAAGCAAAACCCTGCTTTAAAGACAAACAGATGGCATCCTGTTGTGGAACACAGACACTGAGGGCAGAACAGTTCAGTAAGGAAGGACTCAGAACTTTTTCCTGCATCGGAACCTTTTTTGTTCATTTAAATATAAATTGAGGGCCATCAAGACGGCTCAGCTGGTAAAGATGCTTGTTGCCAAATCTGGATACCTGAATTAAACCCCATGCACCCATACCATAGAAGGACAGAACCAATTCCTACAAGTTGTCCTCAGATCTCTATAGGTGCCATGAGGCACATCTGTATAGGTGTGTGCACACACCCATGCACACTTCAACACACACACACACACACACTGTATAAACATAAATAAATAAAGGTAAATGTAGTAAAGTTAACAAATGCTAAAAGTGCTAAATACTAAAACTGTAGGGTACCATTTTTTTTTTAAAAAAATTACACACTAAGGCTCAATTATAGATTTATTAACACACAGAGAATATACTCCCATTTTCCATGTTAGTATAAGGAACTGAAATGCTTATCAAAAACCAGTTTAAAAGTTGAGCAGGTAGGCAAGAAAACCATCTTGTATGGTTTGAATATTCTCCAAACCTTCAGTGAATCCTTATTGCAAAACATTAAGTGGAAACTTAACTCAAATTATGACACTTGTGGCCAGTAAGATGGTTTTCTGAATAAAGTGCTTGCCGCCAAGCCTGATGACCCAAGTTCAAGCCCTGGGACACACATAGTGGGAAGCAAGAAGGGAAACTGTCCCCTGACCTCCGTATATATGCTCCCTCCTCCCTCAGAGTTTTAATCTTAGCACTTCAGCAGATCTCTGAGTCTGAGGCCAGTTTGGTCTACACAGTGAATTCAGGACAGCCAGAGCCAAGCTGAGTAGATCTCTGTGAGTTAGAGGCCAGTTTGGTTTACAAAGAAGACAGCCAGGGCTACACACAGAAACCCTGTCTCACCAACCCAACCCAACCCAACCCAACCCAACCCAACCCAACCCAACCC